GTCTCCTTTCGGCCCCCGACGTGGCAATTCCTAATTCCGAGGGTTCCTTCAGCCTCGGCACCGGTACATCCGCAGTCACATGCCAGCCAAACTTGCTCTAACCCTAGCTAATCCAGGTGAGTCCCGTTCCATCCAGCTACGGTGGGCGCAATTATTCCGTAGTTCGAGTTTGCTCAGTCCCGCGTGGCCCCCGACTCGGACTCCACAGCCCTGGACCATCGTCTCCACAAAGACCCCCCGGGAGGTGCAGGAAGCCTTGACGCTCGAGCACTCCAAGCGTCCCCATGGCCCCGTGTGGGCTCCAGGTTCCCCAGAACTCCTGGAGCTCGTCCCCTGAACCAGCTAGCGGGCGAAGGGCAGGATCGGATAAAGTGTTCCGCCGTCGGGGACGCCTGCCTCCCGTGCGGCTGCAGAGTTTATACCCCTACGTGGCACCGCAGGGGTATTCAAGTTTGCAGCCGCGGGGTGTCGAGCGTCCCCGAGTCAAACAGTGGCGAAGCGTCTTGACTCGCCTATAAGCCCACCAAAGAATGTTATGATAACCTTATGTGGTCAGCACGAGATGTTTTTTGTTTTTTGGAACATGTCTGGCTGAGACTGTCTTGTTTCTGACACGTCAGGCTTGTGTTCTAAGAACACTGTTCTTGTTCTCAGAACGTTTCTGGGTCTACGAATCTTTCGCGGCAGGCCTCAAGGAATGCCGGGACGGTTGGTCCCTGCTGAAACGAGGGCGGAAAAGTTGAATGCAAACCTTTCTTCGCCCCCCAAACCCAGACATGCGACGTCTTGATTTTTCAGGACGTCGTCCCCGGAAGTCCCGTCCCGTTCCCTGGGGCCGGCTTTTCATCCTGAGTAGTCTTTTCGGGCCTGGTGAGGGACCCCGGGGGCCGAAAGTATGGAACAACTCGCCGTCCTGATTTTTGTCACGACGCGGGCACGTCGGGGAACCAGCCGCGCCAAGACGTCCCCCTCGCGCTGCCGACGCCTCCCCGCCCGCCCGCCCGCGCGCCCCCCGCCGAAGTCCTGGCCGAGCTGCCGGAGCGCCCCTCCGCGCCGCCGCCGCCGCGGCCGCGCCCCGCCGCGCTCGCGCGGAGGCGCCCCGTCGCGCGCGAGCGCGCGCCCGCCGCCCTGCGCGATCGCGCGCCTTCCCGGGAGGTCGGGCCGCAGGAGCACATCCGAGGAGGGGCCGGGGGCGGAAAAGAGGGGGGTGATGACTAGGGGGGTGTGGATATCATGGCGGGGGCCATGATATTTCCCCAGATTTCATGGCGCCTCTTCTTGTTTCATTTACGTCCCTGGCCCCCCCCGCTGGGCCGCGCGCATGCCGCCGGTCATGATTTGCACCCCCCCCTCTTGGACACCCCCCTCTTGGCCGCTCCCGAGAGGGGCCGGGGGCCCCCAAACGGGGTGGTAGCCGCACCGTGCGGTGCGTCGGTGGGGATCCGGGGTCACCGCACGGTCTTGGGCCTCGGGTCGTTCTCCGAGGACGTCTCGGGCGGCTGGGGCATCCGAGGCCCCAGAACCGTGCGCTGACGGACCGTGCGGTGAGGTCCTGGGGGATTTCGAGGTCACCGCACGGTCTGTCCCCGCACCGTTTCGGGGCTCCAAAAGGGGGGGAGGGTGAGCGCGCGGTGGCCACGTCAGCGGTCCCCTGAGGTCCTGGCGTGGCAATTTGTTTTGGTCACGGCCGGCGTTTCCGCTCCATTTCGGGCCTTTGGGACCGTCGCAGATGGGTCGGGTTCGAAGAATGACGCAGAAAGATGGGGTCTTTGGCTCCGGGCGTGATTTCTTACGATGTTGCATTTTTTTTTGCAACGTCGGATCTCAGGGGAGGGGCACCCCGGCGGAGGAGCGAGGAAAGGGCTCCGTCTCGGAGCATGCTGTTCCGAGAGCAGTCCCCATATGGGGGTGCCCGTGGGACCGGGCAACTCCCTGGCACGAGGTGGCCACGTCAGAGGAGGATCGATGATCCGCACGACGTGTGTTAGCCCAATGTGTGTGTGTGTGTGTGTTTAGCCCCCTCAGCCCAACCAGCAGATCATTACATCGCCTGCGTCGTACCGCAGGGCCTCGATGGACAGACACACGTGGTGGCCAACACGCCTTCTCAGGACCACTGGGAGGAGCACCTCGGTGGCGGAGGGCGGACGGGGGCTCTGTGTCGGACGACGTGGCCCCGAGCAGCTCCCCATAGGTCAGAGCCCCGAATCATCAGGGGTAACTCGGGTCAGGGCTAACTCGGGTTCCTTTTTCGGGAATCCAAACCCGAGTTACCCCGGACCCGACTTACCCCGGATAGTTGGGGCCTCCAGAGCCCCGAATCATCAGGGGTAACTCGGGTCAGGGCTAACTCGGGTTCCTTCTTCGGAAATCCAAACCCGAGTTACCCCGGACCCGAGTTACCCCGGATAACTCGGGCGCCCAAATAGGGCCATAGGGTGTGCCCGTGGGGCCGGGCCACCTCCCGGCCCCGCGGCAGAGCCACCGCCCACGTGGGGGCCTTCGGTCCCTGCCCCCCTGGGAGGGCCAGGGTCGCCGCGGCCCCTGGGGGGTGGTTGCCCTGCCCTTCCCCGGGGAGTCCAGCGGCCCCGCATGCGGGGGGGGGGGGGGGGGAGGGGGGCCAGGCGGGCCGGGGGGGGGCACCTCGGGGGGGGGGAGGGGTAAGGGTGCACAGAGGAGAGAGAGAGAGAGAGGGAGAGAGAAACCAAAAACCAGAGAGAACGACATACACATAGTTATACAACATGCTTTTACCTATACATGTTTATATATATATATGTGAACATGGTGAGAGAAAGAAGAGAGAGAGAGAGAGAGAGACAAACAAACAATAAATGGAGCTACCATCGCTCGGGGCCTTCCTTTTCCAGTGCTCAAGATCTACACGTTTTCAGTGTGGCGGTCTGTTATGTTCCGTTTGGGGATTCTCCTTCGCCCTGTGTTCGGTGTGTTCCCTTCAGTTTTTTAAGTTTGTTTCGCTGTTTCGGGCTGCGGCGGCTGTTTCCCCCCTTATTTTGGTTAGCCGATAATTGAACAGCTGAAGACGAAGAGAATAGCAAACCGCACCCAGCGGTTTTAACCTGGAGGGGCAGGGGGGGGGGCGGCACCAGCTGCAGTGAGGGTGGTGGATCCTGGCGGCGCAGATCGTCATCGTCAGCTTCATCCCTTGATCATTGTGTACTGGAGTTTTCCAGTCGCGACCGACGGGATTGGTCGCTACCGATTTCGCTTCAAAGTTTGGCCTCGGTCGCGGCCTATCTGCTTCAGAATCGGTCGCGGAAGTCGGTCGCGACCACTTGGCCGCGATCCGTGGCGACCAGTCACGTCCGATGCTGGGATCGGCCGCGATCTGTCATGACCCACTTGGAGTGCCGCTCGGTCGCTACCGATCGCGACCGAGAAAAACGGTGTCTTCGGTAGCAAATCATGGAAGCTTCGTGTACCCTCGCAAGTTTGTCTTTAGCGTCGACACTTTAGCGTCGATTAGCGTCTGGGAGTCGATGCGACAGCGCCGTTTTGGCGTCGATTCAGCGTCGCCTAGCGTCGATCTATCGTCGCTCAGTCGCTCAGCGTCGATTTAGCGTCGATTTAGCGTCGACCGGCGTCGAGATTCGCAAGAGCCGACTAGATGGTATGGAGAGCTCCCATGCTTTGCCACCGAAGGCATCCAGTGATCTGGGCGGCGCAGACCGTCGTCGTCATCGTCATTGGAGGGGGCTTCGCGGCGCACAGCAGCTGCGGGAGGTGGTGCCCCCTCCCCCGCCCCCTCGGCGGCGCAGGGGGCGTGCGGTGCCTCCGCGAGAGGGCCCGCCCGAGCCTCGGCGGACGAGGTGCAGCAGGCAGTGGACCCGCCACGGGAAGGCTGGGCAGCCTCCTCCCAAGGGTGCCCTTGCAGGGGTGCCCTTGCAGCCTTGCCTCCTCGGCCCAGCCTCGGCGACTTTCGCGCTGGCCAGCCTCGCTCACCGAGAACGTGGTCGTGGCCCTCCAGGTCGGGCGGAGAGAACTATGCACATGCACCGACCCTGGCAAGGCCCATCCTGGACCCAGGATCGGTGTGTGTGCCTTCCTGGCCAAGGTAGGAGGGCGTATGCACCGATCCTGGGCTCAGGATGGGCCTGGCCAGAATCGGTGCATGTGCATGGTTCTTCTTCCTCTACCAAGGCCCTGGCATCCCTGGCCCCGCATCCCTGTGATGCGGCCTGTGTGTGTACGTGTGTGTGTGTATGTGCGTGTGTGTGTGCGTGTGTGTGTGTGTGTGTGTGTGTGTGTGTGTGTGTGTGTGTGTATGCGGGCGACGGCGGGAGGAAGAGGAGGAGGTGCGGCAGGAAGCCCCTGGAGTGGTGGGCGGGCAGGAGGGCAGCGCCAGGACGGTGGCTTGTCTTCTGGAGGTCCGGTCCTCGTTTTAAAGTCGCGGGCAGATCCCCCCACCGCAGGAGGTGCCAAGGATAGTCAAAACATGGTCTGGAGACGACGCCTCGTGCTCGTTTGGCTCAGTTGGGTTCTTTGTTGAGGTGCTGTTTCTGTCAATGCCCAACTATTGGCTAAGTTGGATTTTTTGTTGAGAGTTGTTTCTTTCTTTTGGCTAAGTTGATTATTGCTTGAGTTTGCTTTTCCTCTTCCAGAGGGAGATGCCCGAAACCTGGTTGCCCAGGCCCTTTTTGGGTCACGAGCCAACAAAAAAAACAGACAGAAGGCTTTTTGCGCCCCAACCACATCCTGCGGTGTTGGGCCCTCGATTTGAAGAGAGTGCCCTGCGTCCTTCCTCCTCTCCTCTCCTCTCCTCTCCTCCTCCCCCTTTCTCCCTCCTCCCACCCTTGTCGCTGTCTTCCGCATGTCATTTTCGGCGCACCTCTCACACACTTCGTGGCTCCATACGGAGCTCAACATGAGGCCCCACTGGTTGTGTTCGTATGGAGGTTCCTCCTTTTCGGCACACCCCTCATTCGTTTCGCTGCCCCATCGGGAGCTCCACCGAAGGCCCCAGTACTGCCAGTGGCTGCATTCGCATGCGGTTCCACCCTCCATTTCGGCACGCTCGTCACACGTTTCGTGGACCCATCGAGAGCTCCACCCAAGGACCCAGTGGCTGCGTTTGTATGCCGTTCCGCCGCACCCCTCACACGTTTCGTGGCCCCACGCATACGGTGTCGTCCACGCTTTGGCGCACCACTCACACGTTTCGTGCCCTATAGGGGGCTCCACCGAAGGTCATAGTGGCCGCGTTCGGATGTGGTTCCACCTTCCATGTCGGCGCTCCCGGCGCGCCCCATCACACATTTCGCGGCTCCATGGGGAGTTCCACGGACGGCCCCAGTGGCTGCGTTCGCATGCGGTTCAACCCTCCTTTCGGCACACCCCTCGCACCTTCCGTGGCACCATGGGGAGCTCCACCGAAGGCCACAATGTTTGCGTTCGCGTGCGGTTCCACCCCCGTTGCGGCACACTCCTCAGACGTTTCGTGCTCCCCTATGGGAGCTCTACCGAAGGCCACAGGTCGCACGGTTCGCGTGCGATTCCAATTTTCAATACGGCGCACCCCTCTCCTCAAGTCTCGTGGCACCAGAAGGATCGGGCCGGACGAAAGGGGGGGAATGGGAAAGGGGGCGTTACGAAATCTGCTGCATGCAGCTGGTTTCGGGCCCCACCGAGGGGCCCATTCCTCGATACATAGCCGCCTCCGGCGCCAGGAGGCGCCGGGAAAATCAGCTACGTGAGCTGATTCTCAAACCTCCCCTTTGCTATCCCCCCCTTTCGCCTGGCCCGAAAGGAGTCCCGCCGAAGGGCCCAATGGCAGGGTTCGCGTGCGGTTCCTCTGCCCATCTCGGCGCGCCCCTCGGTCGGGGCTCAAGAGACGGGGATCAATGCAAACGGGGCTCAGCCAGAGCGCCGGATCTTGCTGGTTTCTGGAGGGCCAGGGCCGTATTGACCTTGGCCTGGGTGCAGAATCCTGCAGGATTTTGCAGGGCCCTGCAAGGCCCGACTGACCTGGGTCTGGATTGACCTGGGTCAGAAGATCCCCGACCCCCCACCCGAAGAGCAGGAGAAGGAGGAGGAGGAGGCGGAGGAGAAGGAGGAGGAGGCGGACGAGAAGGAGGAGGAGGAGAAGGAGGAGGAGGAGGCGGAGGAGGGGAAGGAGGAGTTGGAGAGGAAGGCCGCGCAGCACGAAAACGCCAGCGAGACGCAGCGAAACCGCCCAGTGCGAAAAAAGTTGCCACGCCAGGATCTCAGGACGTGCTCCTTCCCCCGCCGAGGCTGCCAGAGGCCGCCGCCTCCGCGCCGGCGTGGCGGCCCGCCGCCCGGCCGGCCTCGCCGGAGCTTGCCGACGGGGCGGCCGTGCCTGGGGCGGAGGCGGCGCGCGCGCAGCCCCCCGTCAAGTAGCGGCGAAGCGTCTCAGCTTGCCCGTAGGCCTACCGCAGGATGTTCCAAGAACCTTTCGTGGTCTGCGCGAGATGCTCTCAGAGCAGTTCTGGCTGGGACTGTCTTGTCTGAGCACATCGTCTTCTTTAGATGTTCTAGGAAACGTGTTGTTGCTTTTCTAATCTTTGGGGAGTTCTAAGACCATTTCGTGGTAGGACTACAGGAATGCCGGGGCGGCCGGTTTTTGCTCAATACCCCCGCGGGGGCGGCGGCGGGGAGAGCTCATGCTGGAGGCCCGCGGCCCGACGACGACGCCGACGCCGACGACGACGACGACGACGGCGACGACAACGACGACGACGCCGACGCCGACGGCGCAGCCGACACCGACGCAGACGCCGGCGACGACGCCGGCGACGACGCCGACGCCGACGCCGACGACGACTACGACGACGACTACGACGACGACGACGCCGACGGCGACGGCGACGGCGACGGGGACGACGACGACGTTGATGTCGACTACGACGCCGACGCCGACGCCGACGCCGACGCCGACGCCGACGAAGACGACGACGACGACTACGACGACAACGACGACGTTGAGGACGACGACGACGACTACGACTACGACGACGAAGACGACGACGACGACGACGACGACGACGACGACGACGACAACGACGGTGCCGGCGACGACGACGAGCTGGCTTTCTGAGGAGGGCAAGCAAGATCCCAATACTACTACCTTTCCCTCGTTTTGCCCACTTGCGGCCGTCTGGGAGGCCCTCGTCGCCACCGCTGGATTCGCCTCGAAATTCTGGCCCGAACGCGCCCCAGGAGAGGTCCAGGGAGTGCGTATCGGAATCTGTACCCTTTGGTTTCTGCAGGCTGAGCTTGCTTGGGGGCTGAGGTGGCCCAGCATTGGTTATGCCAGCAGTAGAGGAGGTGATGTTCCTCAAGGTACCGGCAAGCTTGGTACAGTGGGGGGATGCGTGGCGAGGTCCGACGAAAATGAAATCTTGACCCCGCAGAATTCCAGACACACTTGCGCGCCTGTTCGGCCCAGCGCTGTGTGGAATGGCTGCGGGGGGGGGAAGTGCCATGCAAGTCAACTGACCTGAGTCTTAACAAAACCAGTGTCCGAGAATCTTCGATGCTCGAGATTGGAACTGGCTTGGGATGTGACCCATCACAGGCTCCAGCCAGCAGGAAGGGAAGGGGGGGAGGAAGGGCCCCTCGTCCCACGGCTGGACGCGGCCGGGAAAACTCGTTGGTTTTCCGACGTTCGATCCCGAGAGGCGTCTGGAAGTTGGTGTTGAGGGAATTTGCCTTCACTCTGTAGACGCGCTAACGGTGTGTGAGCTAACGGCGGAGTGGGACAACGAATGGTAGGAGGGCGTGGTTTCTGGCCAAACCAATTGTAGCAACGCGTGGTTCGTGTTTTCCTACACCTCGCTGTGTCGTTTTCGTTCGATACATTCGCATATTTGAAATCTAGGAAACGGTGTTCCGTGATTTCCTACACTTTGTTCTGCGCGAGCTCGGTGTCACAAACATCAGATTCCCAATATCGCCGTTCACCAACACTGCGGTTTAGCGCGGCCGTGGTCACCGCTCCCCCGTCTTGACCTGTTTTCTCTGGGCCGCGGCAGCCCCCCAAGCTCGAGGACCGAGGCTTTTTGTGGGCCTCAGGGTGGCGTGACGGTGGCGAGTACGGCGACGAGGAATTTCGAATTCAGAAGATCGAGGTGTTCTTTGGCGGCGAGCAGAATGGGGTAGGTGGAGGGGGGAAGGCTTCTTAGAAGGAGGCTGCTTCTTAGAAGGCGCCGGCCTTACATCTACAGAGAAGGCCCGCACCTTCTGAGAAGCAGGGGTGCTTCTAAGAAGCCTTCCCCCCTCCCCCTACCCCTCTCTGCGCGCCGCCAAGTTCTATTGGCCTCGGGGGGGCGGGACGGCGGCGAAGACGTCGACGAGGATTTTCGAACTCCGCGGAGTTCGAAAATCCGGACGTCTGTTTTCGCCGTGTGTCGTTGGTTGGAGGAGATGTGTTCGCCTCGGGATGCTTGCCAGCAGATGCACCTCGTCAGGAGGCGTCCGGGGATGCCGGGGTGACCGTGGGGCCATCGAAAAACTACTCGAGATGAAATGCCGGCCCTGGGGACTGAATTCTCAGAGCATCTTGGGGAGCCCGTATTGAGCAGCTCAAGACGTCGGTTCTCTGAAGACGAGATTCTTCGCGCCGTCTCGACCTGGCGGCGTGCAAGGCTGAACTCCGCCAGTGGCCCGCGGGCGGCCGATCCATCGAGCGATGTGCCTCGGAGCGTCGGGCTAGACGAAAGGGGGGGATTGGGAAAGGTGGGGTTACGACATGTGCTGCATGCAGCTGTTTTCGGGGCCTCACCGAGGGGCCCATTCCTCGATACAAAGCCGCCTGCGGCGCCGGGAGGCGCCGGGAAAATCAGCCACGTGAGCTGGTTCTCAACCCCCCCCTTTGCTATCCCCCCCTTTCGCCCGACCCGAGAGAGCCGCGACCGCTCAAGGCCATTAGCGTTCTACGCGGTGGCAGACACCAGCGGGCAAGTCGCCACGGCTTCGAACCTGCGGAAGGCGCAGGAGCAGGGGCAGAACGACCGGGCGGGGAGGCTGGCCCTGGGGAGGAAGCCGCGACCCCCCCAGCGCCCTTTCTCAAGCGGCGGCGGAGCGTCCTGGCTCGCCTATCGCCCTACCAAACAATGTTCTAAGAACCTCTTGTGGTTTCCACGAAATGTTCTTAGAACATTTCTGGCGGAGTCTGTCTTGTGTTATCACATCGGGTTCATGTTCTAAGATCTTCGTTTTTGTTCTTAGAACATGTTTGGGTTCTAAGGACATTTCGTGGTATGACTATAGGAATGCCAGGACGGTTGGTCCCTGCTCAACTTTCGCCTCCAAGAGCTGCCAGAGGAGCGACAGCAGCGCTCGAGGGCGAACGGGAACGACGACGACGCCGAGGAACGACGCCGACGTCGACGTGGTTCCACGGCGACGTTGTCGACGTCGTTGCCGGCGACGAGGACGCACGACGACGACGACGTGCACGTCGTTCTCGTTTCTCCAGCCTCCCGGCGCCCGGCAGCACGCCGGCACCTCCTCCGCCGGCGAGAGAGGCCCGCTCGTCGGCCGGTGGCACGCCTCACACCTCGGCGGCCGCCGCGCCCGCGGCGCCGACGCCGACGACGAGGACAACGCCGGCGACGACGACGTCGACGATGACGCCGACGACCACGCTGACAAGGTCGACGTCGTCGACGTCGTCGTCGACGACGAAGGGCGACATCCTCGTTCTTTCGTCGACTATGCGCTGACAACCCAGAGATCCGACGTCGTGATTTGTTCCATACGCGGTCCCCCGAAGTCTCGACCCAGTCCCCAGGACTGGTTTTCCATCCTGACTCGTTTTTTGACGGTCCCGGGGCCTGGCGAGGGCCCCTAGGAGCCGTGCGAAAACACGCCGTCTTGTTTTTTTCAATATGCTGGATCTTTGGGTCGTCGTCGACCACGCTGACGACAACGCCAGCGTCGACGTCGACGTCGCGTTCCGCCCGCGCCTCGAAGGCGGAGCTGGCTGCCCCTTTGGCGCCCGGGCGGCAGGTCTCCGAAGGCCCGTTGCGACTGCGTGGTCGCTCTCGTCGGATCGTCGTCGTCGTCGTTTTCGTCGTCGGCGTCGCCGCCGTCGTCGTTATTGCCGTCTTTGCCTGCGTCGTCGTGTTCGTCGTCGCCGTTGTCGCCGTCGTCGCCGTCGCCGTCGTCGTCCCCGACGTCGCCGTCGTCGTCGGCATCATCGTCGTCGTCGTGTTCATCGCCGCCGTCGTCGCCATCGCCGTCGTCGACCTCGTCGTCGTCGCCGTCGCCGTCGTCGTCCCCGACGTCGCCGTCGTCGTCGGCATCATCGTCGTCGTCGTGTTCATCGCCGCCGTCGTCGCCATCGCCGTCGTCGACCTCGTCGTCGTCGCCGTCGCCGTCGCCGTCGTTTCCGTCGTCGGTGTTGTCGTTGCCGCCGTCGCCGACGTCGTCGTGCTTGTCGTCGCCGTTGTCGCCGTTGTTGCCGATACGTGGTCATCGCCTGCGTCGCGGTGTTGTTGTGATTGCCGTCGTCGTGCTCATCGTCGCCGTTCTCGCTGTCGTCGCCGTCGCCGTCGTCGTCGACAACGACGCCGTTGTCGTCGTCGTCTGCGCCGTCGCCGCCGGCCTCGCCGTCGTTGTCGCCGTGCCGTGGGGGCCGAGGGTCGGAGCTCAAGGACGACGATTCGATCTGGAGGGCGGAGTCTGTGCTTTTGCTCCGCCTCTGTGGGCCTCCCAGACTCCTAGAGAGTCCTCCTGGACCAGGGGGCCGCGCGTCGCCAAGGCTGGACTCGCCGCGAAAGTCCGATCAGCACTCAGGCGTGGAACCAGGAGGCCACCTCGCACTATGAGCGGGCCACCAGATGGGAGACGGAAGAAAACGGGGTCGTCTGCGCCGACAGTGGCGCGCATGCTTCCCGCGTAAGGTCGCGCGTGCGCGCCCTTGTCTCTACTGTGGCGTGCCGCGCTGGCGGCCCGCGTAAGCTGCGGCGGAAGGTCGCTCGCTACGTCATCAGGCGCAAGACCCGTTTTTGCTCGTCGCTCATGTGGACTTGTACCCGGGATGTGCATGCTTTCCAAGGATTGCTCCAGCAATACCTGCCTGGTGTGCGGACCCACGGAGACAATGCAGGCTGTTAGGGGCAAGCTGGCTCGAGGGCAGTGTTGCCCGACGCCGCGCTGCCGAACGCTTCGTCAACGAATGCCGCGTCAAGGGAACGCAGAATCTCAGAAGTACAGTCGCCTCTCGCGCGTCAGCGCAATATACGCCCCACAGAGGTGGACCATCCGTAGCTGTCTGGCCGCGGACGGCGGCGTCTCTGGAGGAAGCCAGCCGCCGCCCCGTAAAATGTGGCGACGCCATGACGCCATCTTCAGTCGGGCATGTCCCTCTACAGGGGAAATATTCAAACATGTTACAAACATAGTACGGGGACAATGCTGTGATTATTTTGTTGTGGGCTATTTGTCCGCAGTTTGACTTTGTTTCTCTTGTCCTTCAAAATCCGCCTGTAGGAGGACATGCTCGTCCTGAGAAAAGTTCATACTCTCACCATCGTGAGACTTTCCTCTCTGCCCCTTCAAGCAGTCTACAGGAAGGCGAAGAGCGCTTCCTGACTCCTCCCTGGTCCCTCCCGTTCCTTCAGTGCGTGTTGCACGCCTTTGCCACATCACCTGGGTCAATCCGCAGTCTATACTTCAGATGTTTGTTTAGGGCCTCCTCCTCCTCCTTGGCCTCCTCCTCGTGCCTTCTCTCCTGAGGTATCGACGATGTGTTTTGTTCCAGTGCGTCCCCTGATGCCCCGACCCCTTCTACTCTTGCTTACGTTCCGGATCCTTTTTTGATGGTCCCAGGGCCCGGTTACGGGCCTTGACGTAACGTGGCGTCATCTGGGGGGCCGGGGCCGATGACGGCCGCTATCCCGGAAAATAAGGGCTCCTGTGGTGCCGGAGCCACACGGCGGGGGGGGGGGCGGGGGCGTCACGTTGCACACACCCGCCCCCATCCCCCCCTTAAGACTCCCGTGGCCGCCGAAACACAGAGAGAAGCGCGCTCGAGGGGAAGCCCCATGGAGGGGACACGAGCGAGCGCGCGCCTGGCGCGCGCGCCGAGAGCAGGGGGGGAAGGAAAAGTTGTGCCCGTCCCTGATCATCCTGGCATCGCTTGGACGTGTGCATTTTTCCTCGGCGAGGACCATCGAGGACCATCCTGGACCAACGAGCAAGAACAACACGCGCGAAACCGAAACATGCACGGAAAATGGACGTCCGAGCGACGGCGAGTCATTTGATGGTGGAATTTTCCAGTCGCGACCGACGAGAACGGTCGCTACCGATGCTGCTTCAAGTTTCGGTGTATCGGTCGCGACCGATCTGCGCCAAATCTCGGTCGCGATATCGGTGGCGACCGGTCACGGCCGATTTGGGGATCGGCCGCGGCCGACTAGGAATGTCGATCGGTCGCTACCCATCGCGACCGAGGGAAGTCGGTAGCCGATGCTCTGGGCAGGGACCGGTTCTTCCTCCCGAGTCGGTTCCCGACGGCCCTGGGGCCAGGCGAGGGCTCCCTCCCCAGAGGCCGAGCACGGACAAGGCCTCTCCTCGAGGCGCCAGGGGGGTCCACGGGGGGGGCGAGGGCCAGCATCGGTCTGCCGACCCCCATCCCCTTGGCATCGCTCGGACGTGTGCATTTTTCCTTCGGCGACGACCATCGAGGAGCATCCTTGATCATTTGGCGAAAAAGCCACGCACGAAACCGAAAAAAAACACACGGAATGGACGTCCGAGCGATGGCCAGTCCCCATCCCCATCCCCCTCGAGACCCCCGCCAGACAAGGCCTCCCGCCGCTCTCCTGGGGGGCGAGGGCCAGCATCGGTCTGCCGACCCCCATCCCCTTGGCATCGCTCGGACGTGTGCATTTTTCCTTCGGCGACGACCATCGAGGAGCATCCTTGATCATTTGGCGAAAAAGCCACGCACGAAACCGAAAAAACACACGGAATGGACGTCCGAGCGATGGCCAGTCCCCATCCCCATCCCCCTCGAGACCCCCGCCAGACAAGGCCTCCCGCCGCTCTCCTCGAGGCGCCAGGGGGGTCCACGGGGGGGGCGAGGGCCAGCATCGGTCTGCCGACCCCCATCCCCTTGGCATCGCTCGGACGTGTGCATTTTTCCTTCGGCGACGACCATCGAGGAGCATCCTTGATCATTGGCGAAAAAGCCACGCACGAAACCGAAAAAAACACGGAATGGACGTCCGAGCGATGGCCAGTCCCCATCCCCATCCCCCTCGAGACCCCCGCCAGACAAGGCCTCCCGCCGCTCTCCTCGAGGCGCCAGGGGGGTCCACGGGGGGGGCGAGGGCCAGCATCGGTCTGCCGACCCCCATCCCCTTGGCATCGCTCGGACGTGTGCATTTTTCCTTCGGCGACGACCATCGAGGAGCATCCTTGATCACTTGGCGAAAAAGCCACGCACGAAACCGAAAAAAACACACGGAATGGACGTCCGAGCGATGGCCAGTCCCCATCCCCATCCCCTTCGAGACCCCCGCCAGACAAGGCCTCCCGCCGCTCTCCTCGAGGCGCCAGGGGGGTCCACGGGGGGGGCGGGGCCAGCATCGGTCTGCCGACCCCCATCCCCTTGGCATCGCTCGGACGTGTGCATTTTTCCTTCGGCGACAGCATCGGTCACCCCTCCCCTTGGCATCGCTCGACGTGTGCATTTTTCCTTCGGCGACGACCATCGAGGAGCATCCTTGATCATTTGGCGAAAAAGCCACGCACGAAACCGAAAAAAAACACACGGAATGGACGTCCGAGCGATGGCCAGTCCCCATCCCCATCCCCCTCGAGACCCCCGCCAGACAAGGCCTCCCGCCGCTCTCCTCGAGGCGCCAGGGGGGTCCACGGGGGGGGCGAGGGCCAGCATCGGTCTGCCGACCCCCATCCCCTTGGCATCGCTCGGACGTGTGCATTTTTCCTTCGGCGACGACCATCGAGGAGCATCCTTGATCACTTGGCGAAAAAGCCACGCACGAAACCGAAAAACACACGGAATGGACGTCCGAGCGATGGCCAGTCCCCATCCCCATCCCCCTCGAGACCCCCGCCAGACAAGGCCTCCCGCCGCTCTCCTCGAGGCGCCAGGGGGGTCCACGGGGGGGGCGAGGGCCAGCATCGGTCTGCCGACCCCCATCCCCTTGGCATCGCTCGGACGTGTGCATTTTTCCTTCGGCGACGACCATCGAGGAGCATCCTTGATCATTTGGCGAAAAAGCCACGCACGAAACCGAAAAACACACGGAATGGACGTCCGAGCGATGGCCAGTCCCCATCCCCATCCCCCTCGAGACCCCCGCCAGACAAGGCCTCCCGCCGCTCTCCTCGAGGCGCCAGGGGGGTCCACGGGGGGGGCGAGGGCCAGCATCGGTCTGCCGACCCCCATCCCCTTGGCATCGCTCGGACGTGTGCATTTTTCCTTCGGCGACGACCATCGAGGAGCATCCTTGATCATTTGGCGAAAAAGCCACGCACGAAACCGAAAAACACACGGAATGGACGTCCGAGCGATGGCCAGTCCCCATCCCCATCCCCTTCGAGACCTCCGCCAGAGCACCACCCCAGTGGGGTGGAGGAGGAGGGGGAGGGGGAGGAGGAGGAGGGGAGGAGGAGGAGGGAGGAGGAGGAGGAGGAGGTGGAGGAGGAGGAGGAGGAGGAGGGCGATGCCCAGCCATCTTCGACGCCTCGCGGTCCCTCTCGGCCCGCGGGGCCCCCCAGCTGGCTATAGGCATCTCCCCGCGCGGCGTGCGGCCGGTTCGTGCCGCGGGTGCTCCGGCGGTTGATCTCGTGGGCCCGCTGGGCGCGAGAGCCTGCACATACCTCCTGCTCCCCTTCCCTCCCTCCTCCTCCTCCTCCTCCTCCTCCTCCTCCTCCTCCTCCTCCTCCTCCTCCTCCTCCTCCTCCTCCTCCTCCTCCTCCTCCTCCTCCTCCTCCTCCTCCTCCTCCTCCTCCTCCGCCCTCCTCCTCCTCCTACCCTCC